CGTTTAAAGGTAACCTGTAGCAGTACAAATGGATGAGTCAAGAAAAGAGCTTTACTACTCAAAATATATAGAACTCAATGTTTACCTGCTGTTGGTGTTCAATTGGGGTGGGGGTGGGGAGAGGTGGTTAGGATTTTGATTGTAACCCCCTGTGTTAATCTCGTTATAAGACACAATCTTCTGATGAAAGGGGGGCAGCCTGTCAGGCCTGGAAGCCATCTTTTTCATTGGGACTTTAAGCCTGACATATTTAGTCTGTGGGATAATGGGAAAGGGGATTATATGGAGTATGGGAGATATATAGTCATAATAACTTTCCTTTCTCGGAGAGTCAAGGACATCTTGCCCTGCACCTGGAGTGGTGTGACTGGGCGGCCTCTCCAGGGTCTGACTGGGCCATGTGATGGACAGGGACTTGAACTTTCACTTGGGTGGGGAAAACCTGGAAACTTTCAGATTCAGGTTTTCCCAGATGTGCCAATATGACATCTCTAATAAAATGGAACTTTGAGGAAACACAAGCCTCAGAGTCTTCTTTCATTAGGAGTGTTACTTGGAACCCTAACACTGACTATTTTTTATAATGCCTAATATAAATTCTGTAGACATATAAGAGACATAACAATATTTGATTAAATGAAACAATTGATTGGCCACAAAGGAGGAAACTATGCATGGCTAGTTTAGCTATCAGAATACAGTGAAATATAAACAATTTCTAAAAAGTTATGCCAGAAAGCTATGAGCATAATTGGACATGCAATACAACAAAATATTAGTTTTAAAATCTAATATCAAGAGTGGGAGAGGGAAAAGAAAGATTTTAATTTGAATGAGCAGCTGTTAAGTCTGAGCTGAACAAGCTTCATTGGTCAAATTATGGTAGTAAACTCCATAAATTTATGTTTGATTCTGATTAGCTTCTACAAACTAACATTTAAACCATCCTTCTCCAACTAGCATTCTCCAGATGTGTTGAATATAACGCTAAACATTCCAAGCCTGTCCAAAATTATTGAACTTCATGAAGCTAACTATAACAATGCCGTAAGAAATCTAGGGGGTTTAAATTGAAAACAGATACTTCGAATCTTCCCTTCTTGCTTTTTCAGAGGAAAAGTAAAACAGAGGAAATACATGGAAACATTACACTCCCAATAGTCCAATATAAAAACTACACTGTCATAAAATTATCTCTCAGATTAATTGTGAACATTACAAAGCTCTCTAATCAAGGAAAGGGTTAATGGCTGGAACAACTGTAAAATTAAAATATAATGCCTAGTTTGTTTTCTATTAGCAAAGATGCTGAATATCAAGATAAAAGTAATAACATACATTTGCCCCATCTCTCTAGCCTTTAAATAAAAGATATGATTGAGAAAATTGGGTTAATAAAGTCCACTCATATTCAATGCTCACTACTATTCTCCCTACTTTTTCCCCTTGTGTATAAGGAGAATATTACTGACGTACAATGACTTTTTACCCCAGCTCTCCCATCCATGCAGCTTATTTTTCACCTTAATATAGTCCACGGCTGTGATTTGAGAACCAATTGCAAGGTTCAAACGAGTCTCCAAATTCTGGAAAACAAAGACTTTATAGTAATTATTCCATATAGAATGAAAAATCAAAAGCAAAGTAGAATTATTGTTGAATAGACAAGGAAAGCTGTAAAGCAATGTAATGAACAATTCTAAAAATACACCCATATTTTGGCAAATATCGGAGAAACAGTCAAAAATAGAAATAGTTGAAAGAAATAAGTTTAAATAGAAATGTGCCAGTTTCTTAGAAAACATTTTTCAACTGAAACAGAAGATAAAATAATATAAATAAATATGCATTATCTTTTATCTTGCTCTTATTTCCCTGCCTGACAGAGCCCACCTCTTCCCCATGCACATTTTTCTCCCTTCCTCCCCATCTTGGTTAACTGGATTTTAACTGAATTTAAAATTTATGATCTTTATTGTTTAATGTTTTATACTGAATAACTGTAAGCTGCCAAGCGTCAACTCAGCAAGATGGGTGGCATAGAAGTTTAATAAATAAATGTCTAAAGACTACCATGACAAAACTGTTTAAAATAACATGCATTTTTGGAAAAGATTTTTCTGAAAAATAAATTATCTTCTACTTACACTGGTCACTTAGGAAGCCCTAAGAATAAGCAAGTGAACAAGCAAACACCCCACCTTTTTGTAGAACAAAAGTCCCTGTTGATGCTTCAAATCAATCAATGTTACACATAACAAAGGAAGGCAACAGATAAGTAAGGTTTACTGGGTATGGAGCCTTGATATAGGAGGAGGTCCAAGACTCTAGACACTGTACTGTGGATTCCAAAAAGTATACATTTCTTGAATAAAATCACCCCTGAGGCCAAAGAGAACTTCATGCATAGGTTTGGAAGTTTCCCAATTTCTCAATCATATTACTAACTATATCTTAAAATCAATCTGAACAGCAACTGGAATGGTATCTAATGTGAGGTAAAGATTTTCCTGTCAATCATGTCCAATGGTGCTCATCTCCTTCTTGGCCGAGTGAGCCAGTGTTGTCTGAAGACCCTTTCCTTGGTCATGTGGCCAGCATAACTATATGCCACAGTGGCACAGAATGCTGTTTTCTTCCCATCAAAGTGGTACCTATTTATCTACTCACATTTTTGCATGGTTTAGAACTGCAACCTTATTGCATGGCGTTTGGGTCTCAAACTCAGGCTACCAGCTCTCCAGCTGACAAGTTCAATTTTCTTTAAACACTGAGCCATCGTGTCCCAAGCTAATATGAGGATACATTGTAGTACTGATGTAGGCATTTCATATACAAACAGGAACCAGCAACACAACCACAGATTCTTGTGAATACAAAGGGCAGAAAATGCAGACCCTTGACATGATTTGTTAAAAATACCAATTGATGCAATGACCCCAACCACCATTTACCATTTGTTCAAACTGATTGTTGAAGTCAGACTGCAGGAAATCTCTCATTTCACTGAGAATGCAGATTACATGAGCCACACGAACCTCTTCTATCTCTGGCAAAGATACTTCAACTACTGAGGCTCCTAAGTCCACTAGAAATTCCACTGCTGAACATACAACAATAGCAGGAAGAAGAAGAAAAATAAACTTCACTATTAAATAAATCTTGAGAGGCCAGGATTCTATATTCACATTTTAAAACAATCTTTGCGCTATAATCCAATCCAGGTCCACTTTTATGAAGCCATTATATTGTACTTTGCTAACAACGATGCAAAAATGTAAAAAGTAATATAGAAAATTCCATACTTCTCATTGACCATACATCCAAGCAAAATGCACAATTGCAAAATCATGCTTCTGATTATCTTAATCCATTCTTTGTAACTTGATTAGCTTTCTTCCATGAATATAAAATATATACATGATACCCTACTGCATGATGCAATTCATGGCATCAGTTTATATACTGTATACTCAATGAATTTCTGTTTCCTAGGAAGAGGTCTATGTTTGTTGTAGTTCATGGATGTCTGGTCCATGGTGCTGGCTAGAAGTAAATCTATAAATTAGATGTCTCCAATCTTTGCCATATGAAAAATCCATGACCACCACCCCATTGCAGTATTTAAATTAATCAATGGCACTGCAAGGAGAAACTGGTTATTCATTCCCTTCACATATTTGCTTCAATAAAATTACTGTATTTTTCGGAGTATAAGACACTTTGAAGTTTGAGACGCACCTAGCTTTTGGAGAGGGAAAACAAGAAAAAAATAATCTGCCTCTGCCTCCCAGCAATTTGCCTCCTTGCAGCAAACAGCCTGTTTCCGTTTCAGTTTCAATTTTAGCACAGCCTGCTTAGCACAAGGGGAAAAAAATCTGCCTCCCAGCAATTTGCCTCCTTGTAGCAAACAGCAAACAGTCTGTTTCATTTTCAGCAAAGCCTGATTAGCACAAGCAGCTGATTGTCGGGCTTCCTGACCATCAACTCTTTCAGGCTTCAGGTATGCCCATAGCCTATTGCCGCCTCCGTGCACCCCATTTTCCACCCATTCCGAGCAGCAGGGATCGGAATGGGTGGAAAATAGGATGTGTGGGGGCCAAAAATGAGGGACACAGAACCCAAAAATGGGATGTGAAGGCTGAAAATGGGGCAAATGGAGACTGCAATAGGCAATACCAAAGCCTGCAGCCTGAAACAGCTAATGGTCGAGTAGCCGATCCAACTGACAATCAGCTGCTTGTGCTAATCAGGCTGTGTTGAAGCTGAAACAGGCTGTTCGCTGTTTGCTGCAAGGAGGCAAATTGATGGTAGGCAGAGGCCAAAGGGTAGGGGCCGGTGGGTTGGCAGGACCACATTCGGTGTGTAAGACGCACCCAAATTTTCACTCTTCTTTAGGAGGAAAAAGTGTGTCTTATACTACAAAAAATACGGTACCTTCAAATCAAAGTTGCTACAAGGAAAAGATTCCAAATTCAAATTTGATCTGGAGGATCGAAAATTGCATTGAGAATGGAGGCTGCATTTCACTTCAAAAAAGAATAGGGAATTCCAATCATCTCACCTTTGACACAGGGTGTATTTTCTGCACTAGGCTACTTTCAGTGTGCAATCATCCCTGCCTCCTTTTCACTCACCTGTATTAATGGTCTTTCTTATCGTGATAAATAATCAATAGTGAAAGATCAAAATATGCACATATTTCTCTTTACATTACGTTTTCTCAGGAAAACAGTACAGCTTCCGAAACACTTTCATTCCTCAAACACTCATGTAGTGATTTGGAAATTGCAAGGCAGTTTTGATCTTCAAGATGTATAAGCAAGAAATACTAAGCAGGCCAGGATACAACATCGATCAACAAAAAATAATGATCATTTGCATGTTACCTTTGTTGCAGACAGCTAAGATTTCAGTGTCACATGCCTAGCAGATAAGACAAACCAAAATCATTTTTCCAGAATCATTGCAAGACACTCACTACCTCCCATGTTTTTCACCATTCCATAATCATGACACAACTCTGTTCTATTGCAAACATATCTCAAAACTGATATAAGGATCAAAGTTTGCCCCTAAAATATTATTGGTTGACCATATATAAAATGCTAATGCAGAAGAAATAGATAGACAAACAGGTACCTTAAAGAAATTCCAATCAATTCCCAATTTTAAACCATTCAGATCAGTGTTGATGTTTTCTGAGAAGGATGGTTCAGGTTGGTGCAATCCTGTAATGGGTTTAAAGAAGTAAGGACAGAGAAAGACATTTCATTTTAAAAAAAAACCCTTCCTTCCTTGCATTTCAAGTGAGTAAGTAACAATACGCACCATATGGATACTGTAAATCTGACCCAGCCAAGGTAGCATAAGCAACAGCAGCATCTGCAACTGAGGTGCAGAGAGGGCCTGGCAAAATTTTAAAAAACAGGTTATTCACTTTTCTAGCGGTCCCATACTTTCCAATCATTTCTGAATTTAAGAGAACTTTATAGCCCGAGATTGTGGGAGAAAGCAAAATAAGTGTTAAAACATTGGCACGTGTTTTGGAATGTGAATTAAGTGAGTACTCTACCATGCAACTTACTGTGGAGGATATTTCTGATATGGTGCAATGGCAACATCCAAGAATAACTCTTCCTTTTTCCCAAGAACAGTAATAAAAATCAAACAGGCTTTCTTTTCAAATAATTACAGTGGCACTTCATTCTTTACCATCCTCAAAGTTTACTATTCCAATAATGCAGCAAACTTCTTTTTTGAAAGGGTTCTAAGTATACCTTACATCTCAATCTTCTTTTCAGTATCACCTATCAAACACTCAGGCAGTTTCCAAAGATTACATGCATTCCTCCTCATGTGTCCCATCAGATAATTATAAAAACATATTTTAAAGAGATAAAGTATGTGATTGGAAGGAAGGAAACCACTAGCATTTATTTTTTTCCCAGGAAGGAATGATTTTGTGCAATCATACACAACATCTTCATTGATGCTTTGGAAAAGGCTAGTTACGAGGGCAACACCTTGTTTACATAGCAGGAGGAGCAACCAATGGAGTTATGGGGATATATTTCTGCTATTATCAGACATACAAGAAGTAAATCAGCTCAACTGCCCAAGAAAGAGCTTGATCAAGAGGTGATGATACAGACTCAACACCGATGGCAAATGTAGACATTGTGATTTTGCAAAAATGCTTGGGAAAGACATACCAGGACCTACTGTAAAAGTTTTATGTTGGCTATCATGCATTCATTCTTAATGTTTTCTCATATACAACTCACATATCAATTATCGAAGCGCATTTATGCTGTTGCAACTATTATTGCTTCTCAGCTTGCCAATAAACTACTGGGGAGGAAAGGGGGAACTGGAATGTAGTCTCCAGACATCAAGAAGACAAACCTTGAGAGCCAAGGACACTTCACCAGGTGGCTAAAATCCTTAGAAATACTTTCTCTCTCACTTTCTCCCAGCAGCTGGCCAAGAAGTTCCTGCAGCACATATATTGATTGCATGGAGTGCCAAAGTGTATCATCTCAGACTCGAGGGGGAGGAGGTGTCCAATTCATGGCTAAATTTTGATGCAAATTCGTAAGACTGATAAGATTCTCCCAGGGCTCAGTTCAGCATTTCATCTGAGCATGAACGGAGCTGTGGAACAAGCCAATACCATGGTAGAGCAATACCTATGTTGCTGTGTCCACTATCAGCAATCTAATTGGGTGGAGCTTCTGCCATTTGCTGAATTGGTATACAACAATGCCATGCATAGGAGCACTGGTCTCACTCTTTTTAAGATAGTTACGAGAGTGGAGCTTGTGCCCATGCCAGAATACCCACAAGAACCCCCCTCATCAGTAACCTTGACAGAATATGTAGACTCTTCTCAAAGTGTGTGGTGTAATATAAAGAATGCACTAGCTAAAACCACAGACAGCCAAAAACGGCAGGCAGATAAGAAAAGGCTTATCAGGAAAAATTCCACCTAGGGAACATATTATCTGTCCACAAAGTACAAAAAGCTGAGGCTGCCATCCAGAAAATTGGGTCCAAAATACATAGGTCCCTTCCTTATTGTAAAAATCATCAACCCAGTTATTGTAGAACTGAAACTGTCCAGGATATTGAGGAAGGTACACCCAGTGCTCCACTGTAGTCTGTTAAAACTGACCCAGGGCTCTAGGCTAAGGTCAATTGAGAAAGAAGCCCCAGTTGCAGTTATAGTGTGTGTGTGGGGGTGGGTGGGTGAAAAATACTATGAGGTTAAGAGGATTTTAGACTCCCAGTATTATAAAGTACCTGGTGCAGTGGAGGGGTTATCCAATTTCAGAAATGAGGTGGATTAAGGCCCACAATATTAGAGCAGATTGCATAATAAAGACATTCCATACAAAATACCCTCAAAAACCAGGGGCCCCAACAGTGGGGGGAGAGGGAAACTAGTTATTAATAAAATGTGTTTGTCTTCCAGATATCTCCCATGTTTTAGGGGGGGGGGGCACTTTACAAATTGGAAGCATGCTTATGCTGTTGCAGCTATTATCACTTCTCAGCTTGCCAATGAAGAGGGGGAGAGGGATGGAAGTAGGCTCCAGGCATCAAGAAGACAAATTGTAAACTGTGACAGCCAAGGACACTTCACCAGATAGTTAAAATCCTTAGAAACACTTTCTAATAACAATTCAACAACATCTAATTGGACAATGTGACCTGCACTAATAGGGGGAGAGAGTAGTCTATACTTTAATTATACAAGATTGAGCAGGAATTAGCTAGAGCTGGTTTTGCCTTAATCTGTGCCAAAACTATGTACTCAATAAAGTTTTGCCAGAAGAGATCAGTTTGTCATCACTGTACTTGCTTGGTTGGGTTTGTCAATCGGAACCTTGACATCAATTTTTAAACAGACAAAGTATCTACAAGACCCAAGAATTTGTTACTTAAATTAAAGTAACGGCATAGAAAGTAGCTTCTCCTTTCTCTCCCAAGGACACCCAGTATATATTTAAAGCTAGAGACATCTTACCAAGACTAACAGTAGAATATGACAGAGGATGAGATCCAAATCCACTGATCCGTCCAAAGGTACCTGCAGACAACAGAGCAGAATGATTAAAATTACAAAGCAAATGTCAGAAAATACTTCAGGCAGAGTGCTGAGTGATAAAGCCTAAGAAAAAAAAACACCAATCCATCTTAATGTTTCCTTTTCTTAGCTCAATCATCAGTCAAGTAAATGAATTCAACTTAAACTTAAATAAGGAACTGGGTTAGGAAGATTTCAAGTGGCTGTATTTCAGTAATACATTCAATAGCATTCACATGGCAGTCGAAACAGACAACAAAAAGGCATCACAAAGTTCTGCTCATTTTGTACATATGTCAATGCATATACAAAGGGGCTGGTACTTTGATCACAACACTGCAACTGCCGTCTTGCCTGTTTTATTTCTTCCCATTTGTATGCCCTCAATTTTGTATAAATGATTCTATTAAATTGATATTATTTTTCACTTTCAAGAATATGACCCTCAGAATTAGTTGTTACTCACATTTCTATCAGAATTTACCTTTCAGTCCCACAATACCACAGAAAGAAGCTGGGATCCTCACAGAACCACCTCCATCTGTACCAACAGCCAGCGGACAGAGGCCTAGAGAGAAATGGAATTAAGAAAAAATTCCATTGAATAAAATTATTTTCTCCATCCTTTTCCCCACCACCCAATCTGAACAAAAACTTGAAATGTTGCTTAATTTGGCTTGGTTTTTCAACTCCACTCTCAAGGCTTTCATCTGTAATACTAGACTTACCTGCAGCCACTGCTGCTGCTGATCCACTAGAACTACCACCAGTAAAATGCTGAGGATTGTATGGATTTCTAGTTGTGCCATGATATCTAGAAATAAAATAAATAGGTATTTTGAAGACCATCATAATGAAGGCTGGTGAGGAGGAAAGAAAGTATATTTATATGCCAAAGAAATTAGACTGCAATGTGCCATAAGCAAAACTAAAATTGCATCTGCTGCCAGGTCTCAGCGAGGGGAGGAGGGGTAGCAATAATGGAGACAGGAGAGTTGAAGAAAAAGATCTTGAGTACAGAACTGAAAGCAGAGTACTGGCAAACTATCACAGTAGGAGGAAGCGCTCAAGTCTAGTTTGTATAGTTACTGATTGCTCTAAAACCACTGTAATTTCATTATTTTAGTATTAAAAAGCTGCTTTTCTCCCTTTTGTTTGTCTATAGCAGTGGTGGGTTCCTCCTACTTGTTCAGACCGTTTGGCCGAACCATTAGTGGTTTGGTGGTCTGGGTCGCTGGAACCAGCAGTGACCCAAGCCTGCCACGCCCCCAAACTGGTTCTCTGGGCGGCGCCATAGGCACTGCCATCTTGTTTTTTGCTTCTGCACAGTGCAGAGCAATGTTTATTGCACTGTGCATGCACACACATTGTGCATCAAGTATGCGTGTGGTGTAGTCATGAGCGAACCGGCAGTAGTGACTGCCGAAACCCACCCCTGGCCTATAGATACATAAAAAAGCTTCTCCAGCCCCACTAGTTTCATACCTGCAAGCTAAGACAGCTCAATTTAGAAAGGCATCACTGCTACCAAGAAAGAAGGAAAGTATCCTTTAGGAAAGCTTATTCAGCACAAAAATTCAAAGAATTGCCATGCTTTTTCTTTTTTCTGGAAACAATGTAACTACCCAGTGGTACATTTAAATCTTTTTTCTCTCACCTTCCATGCTTCCATATTCCCACCCCAATAAAATTTCATTACACTGTTTAACATTCAAGATGTCACAAAGCTTAATTGTTTTTCTAACTGTTCTTTCTAGCCCTCACAAGAAACAGTTTGAATGAAAATCGATTTAGTGAATACATACTATTTTACCTATTGGGATTACATCCAGTGGTCCCTATACCCAATTCATGCATGTTCGAGACGCCAATGATAATGGCACCAGCCTCCCGTAATTTCTTTGTCACAGTGGCATCTTCAGTCTCTGGCTTTGTGCCCAAGTATACAGTTCCACTTCGGTGGTGATAGGGTACCTTATAAATATACCAAAAAGTATTCTGTGATAGGATTCATTATAAATACAACCCAGTACTATAGATCATTTATCCCTGCTTCAAGGGAATCCAATGGCAATAAACCACACAGAAAACAATTTCATAAGAAAATGCATCCTTTTATAATCAAACCTAGTTCTTCTCTGGGAAGAAGTTTCTCTCAGGCCAAATTGACCCCCCCTCCATCTCAAAGCCTTGAAGAACTGGCTCGCCCGTCAGGCCTGGGGATAAGGATAGCTACCCCTCCCGAATGATGAATGCATGTTGCCTACTATTTTATTATATGTCTTCTATCTTGATGTTTGTGTTCCCCCCTTCCTAGTTTTATGTGAGCCGCCCTGAGTCCCCTCAGGGAAAAGGGCGGCCTACAAATTCTAATAAAACTATAAAAAAACTATAAACTATTAATGCAAGGTACAATTGATAGTATTAAGGTGCTGTTATACTTTCTTAATATTTCTTTCCTATACCCTCAATGTGATATTTGTTTTCCTTTTTAACAACACTGAGCACAAAAAAAGTGAAATGTGTATACCACTTTAATTTCTTCTTTTATGCATACTGGAATTCCATCCAAGAGTGAGAGAGGCTGTTTGCTTCTGTAACGAGCTGTGGATTCCTCAGCCATCTGAGCAAAGAGAGATTTGTGAATAAAACTTTTTAAAAAGAGATTTATAAAATAATTATAATTATTATATTATAATTATTCTATAGAAATAATACTTTAAACAAGTAAACTACAAAATATCTCATCTTGAAATCCAAATCAGAGAACTTCAGCACAAGAAAGGAGACTCTTTCTCCAAACCCTGTAATAACACAATTTAGAGAATACCTTTTTCAAGAAACAAGTAATTCTCCTCTCACTGAACATACCTTGATTATCTCTTCCTCATTCCACTGAGAAATTGCCTGGAGGTTAGGATTTGCTTTCCCAACTTCTTTCAGAGCAGCAATAATGTTCTTGGCAACTTCTCGGGGTGTTACCTCTCCAGATCTAGTGAACAGTCAAAATGGAAGTTGTTATATTTCCACTCTATTGTCAGATTCATGCTGAAGTCACTAGTAGCCCTGAACAGTAAGATTTCAAATGCACAACCCCAAGTTCTTTAAAGGGAATGCTTAGTGAATCAAGACTTTCTGAGTCCTATACTACTGTATCATTTGTGCTGTAATGAACCATAATAGTTACTCCATGTAACCATTCATACCAAACAAAAGAGCTATGTTTTCATTCATGCAATATGCTAAGCCAAACAACTCACATTATGGCTAATTGTTTACTTATGATTCTTAGGATGAGTGAACCATGTCAATTAGCTGCTCAGTATTTGGGAACTGAGTGGTTGAGAAATGTGAGAATTAAATTAAATTTGGTCAGATATATTTCTTGAATCAGACTGAGGAAAAACATGATCTTCTAGTTCCATCTAATGTGATTATGCATAATAATAACCGACTGGTATGGAATGGTATCCCAAAGTAAATTTAAAATCAAGAACCATAGTTTGCCAGAAACATATGAAGCATGGAGAAACTGGGAACGATTATTCAATTATGCACATGAACAAAGATAAAGAAAAACAGAGTTAACTTCACAACAGAAACATTCACACCTGCTCATTCTAAAGGTATCTTTTTGGAAAATGCAAACAATGCTTATATTTCTCCACCTCTTCTGGAATGGAGTGAAAAGTAGGAACAAAATTAGCCCCTAAGCTACTGTTTTGTCAATCAAGAAAAAGAAACCCAAGAACAAACATATACTTTTTTTAAAAAAAATATTGAATTCCTTACCTATAGCATTTCAAGTAATCCTGAATCCCTTTAAATCTGAAAACAGAACTTGCAGAACATGAGCTGTGACATAAAAAAAAAGAACAATAAAGATTCATGGATAATTTGAAAAGAGTAAGATGTTAACCGAGAAGCATAAACGCCCTTTTCTAATCTTCCTTTCAGCAGCAATCGTCTGAGATTGGTAGCCTTTCATTATTACTCATCCAGTTTGGCTGGATATGGCTCCATTTCTTTCTCAACTGCAACATCCTACTGGTGAGACCTGCTGTGAAGAGAGGCAGAAGCCCATACTGTTCAATTTAATTTTTCCTATCATTTCCTTGATCATTTATTTTTCCTAACAAAAAATGATAATCACTAGGAAGTACAATGGAAAAAAATGTTTTCAGTTCCAATTCAAAATATACAATTTGTTCAACATTTAAGATTCCAGAGTTCCATTTAACTTTAAAACAATAACGCAGTGGAAACAGAAAACTACGTTATCTCCCTTATGAATGTTCAATACTTGCTATAATTTGTGGATACACTGAACTCCCACAACTAAAGTTTACCGAGCTATTGCTTTCAAGTGTTTGCAACTATATCTTTCCGACCCCTTAAATTACACACATGCCTTGATTCCATCAAACTCTCGAGAATTGCTGAGACATTTTTTGATTCTGACTTGTGTTCTTTTCTTTCTGAAGCCACCATTGGCATGAAAGTAGGATCTTCAGTAATATCAAGGTAGCGTAGAGCAGTAAAATTGTTCATCCTGGAAAAAGTGCATTTTATTACATTAACTTGAGAAAGTTTTTTAAAATTCAGTAAAGCACTAATTTAAAATTCTTTTTAATGATAGCTACACACACACACACACATTTTTCTGTACTGCCTATTTCCCTCAAAGTTTTCCATTAATAACATTATTCTAAATGTATCCTAAATGTTGCATTACTGGAATTGATCAGATATGCACACTGTGGTCTAGACAATAGATTTCCTAATATTGTGTCAGCAACTGTGGCCTCAGAAGAAAGTGGTCTGCTATGCAGACAAAAGGCAACTGTACAGTACACTCAGGGAGACCACCTTGAATCTGAAGGAGACAGCCATAGTTGCCGGTAAAATGTCAGGAAATCTGTTATCTAGAGCAGTTATTAAACCTTGAAACTCAAAAGTGCTCAACAGATACCAGCTGTGAAAGCCAGAAGATCAATTTATATACATAGCTTCTATGTTTTCTTCTTTCAAGAAATGCAGGAAAAAAGTCAGCCAGAACATATACAGGTAGTCCTTGAGCTACATTGGCAATAGGGAGTGGGATTGCAATTGCTAAGCAATGTGTTCATTAATTGCTATTATTGCATGACTACATTGCTTAATGATAATTCAGATGGCCCTGGTTGTCATCACAACCCCAGGATATGTGGGTTATTAAGCAGGAAACAGAGAGAGCTACAGGTAAGGAGCACAGGGGTGTGGTGTGGGGGGGAGGAAGGCCCCAGGAGACCCAGTGTAGGCCACATGCATATTTGGGATATAGGAATACAGTATTAACTTGGGGAGGCCAGGAAAAGGGGGTGTGGAGCATACACATGTGAGCATAGGAGGATGGAGAAAGAAGGCACTGCATGCATTGGGGTATGTAAGCATAGGGAGAAAAGGGGCTGAGGAAGGAAGATGCCACTTGTCTATGTGCGAATGTAGGGAGGCTGGGGGAAAAGCGCTCTGGTGAGTGTAAGCCAACAAAGGAGAGAATAAAATGTGGCGCATATGAGCAGTGGTGGGTTTCAATTTATTTTACTACCAGTTTGCTCATGCACATTTGTGCATGTGACGCTTCTGCGCATGTACTGAAGTGTCTGGGTGGGTGGGAAGAGCCTCCCGCCACTGCCACTACCACCTTATCCAGGGTGAACCGGCAGAAACCCACCTCTGCATATTAGTGAAGAAATGTGGTGGCAAGATTTTCTTAAGTGACTTGCTGGCTTCGGTTGACTTTATCTCTCAAGATGCCAGCCATCTCACCTTGTCTCTGAAGCTGCCAGAAAAGACTGATTTTAAGTCCCTTCATATAGTGGCATTGTAACATCAAACAGTCACTGAATGAATAGTGGTAAATCTAGTATTAGAATTTAAGAGAGTCCTTTGATCAGGCAGACTGAAAGGAGCAAGCTGACCATTTCCCTTCAACATCCAGGCTACCTACAAACCAGTTTCAGATTATGGATTAGTAGCAAGTAATGAGAAGGAAACAATTCTGGGGCTCTCTTTCTTCTTTTCTTCTCTTTTCCTTCATATGTAAAAAGGTGAGAAGATTCTGATTGGTTTAAATAGTAGCCCTGTCAAAGGTATAACTGCAATAGGAAGTTTTTCATTTCTTCAAAGGATGAAAAGAGGGACATAATCTACCTTTCATGTCCAAACTATTTGCTAATCTTAAGTACAGGTTGTCCTTGGCAGGTAGTCCTTGCCATCCGTGTAGTAACAATTGGGAGTGGAATTTATGTTGCTAAGCAATGGCATATCGCAGATCAGAAAGGTTGCAGTGAGCTGTGCAAGAGTTGCCCCAAGGGTTGGGAGGATGCTCAGAGATGCAGCACAGATGGGGAAAGGAGCATCAGTGGATTGCATAAGTGCAGAGGGCTGGTGGAGAGTGAACAGATGGGGCAGATTTATCTCAGTGACTTATAATCTTCCCTGCCAGCTTTCCCACTGACTTTCTGAGTAAATAGAGATTATGTGATTGCAGGATGCTTGGCAACCAACTGTAAGTGCTAAAAGGTTGTCAAACACCCAGACCTGTGATCACTGTGGAGATAGTGGAACAGCCAGAGATCAAAATACAGTCATAACCACCATTTGTGCAACACCATCATGTTGGAAGTGTCACTGATCGAACAGTCATAGGTCAAAGACTATCTGCAGGATATTAAGCATCTTTCATAGGTTCAGAAGTTTAAAATTAATGGCAAATTGTTGGTGTCAGTGTTGGCATAGCTGAACGAACATTATGTTCAACTACTAATGTTAGGCAAATTTTGAACTTTTTAATATTTTAAAGTTCTTTTAACTCTACATCCCAAACACAATAAAGAACCACATCAAGAAGCTATTGTAGAAACTGTACTGTTCGGTGTGTATGTAACATAGAAATGTTCTCACGTGTATTGTTTCGGAGAACAGATTATTAGCCTAGTGCTACAGTGAAAAAGATCTCTGTCTCCCATACAGTGCATAACTCATTCAATTTGAATATGTTTTTCATGTTCTCCATTTTACTCTGCTTGCAGAGTCTCTATTATGTAATTCAGTTAGTAAAATAGTACTTACTGCATTAAAAATGGCACTAAAAAAAGTTGTCCAAAAGCCTACAATGAAAAAAAAAGAATTTTTATTTCTTTGTTCTAGATTGAGTCTTCTTTCAACAAAGACTGAACATAATTGGGTATTAAAAGACCAAATACAAAACACATACAGATAGCATCTTTCACTAGACTGAATTTAAGGCTTAACCATTCTGCTTTCACCAAAGCCAGTATTGATCTGATACAGTGAATCAGTTACGCAAAAATCATTTCCCCCATTCTCAAAAGAATGTGGCTTCAAACCAGTTACAACACATACAGATAGGAAACAGGTACAGTAATTGTTGTATGCTGCACGGAGACATTTTTGATGAGGCAGCCACATAAATTTGATCAATAAATAAAATAAACTTTTATTTTACTAAAAATAGGGCTTGTACTTGAGGAACAACATAACATCTTGAGGAATTCTTTCATAGAGTTTAAATCATGCCCGTTTCTTCCTTAGCCAGTGAAGAGAAATCTGGCATTCCTAACTGGAGTCTAATGTGTTGCACAGAGGATGTTACAAAAATGATGAAATCCATCTGAACTCAGTAGTGTGACATAGAAGCAATAACCCAAACAAAACAAAGTGAATAAAAAAACAAAAAGCATCCAAAAAGTGCAGCTTTGGCTATATAAAAATAACAGATTCCAGAATAGGCAGGAAATTGGCTAGTAGCTGAATATCCCATCCCATCAAACAGTACCTAGCCCAACAACAATGAATGAGGATACAGCTGAAGTAGAAAGTACTGAAACATTATAAAAGAAAGGGCCAGATAAGGACTTGGTTGGAAGACATTCCATGTACCCAGGGGTCACAGTCCATCTTCTTCTCTCCCCTCATGTTTCTTGATGGAACTTGGTAAGTATTTGATTCAACAAAATGGATAACTAAGACTTCTTTGTTGTGTGTCACTACCCAAGATCCCAGAAGAGTTTGAGGGCAAAAATGAAACAGAAGCTTCCTTTCCTTTAAAACCCAGTTATAATCCTTGAAATGTTTAGATAAAAATAAATTTATCAAGGAATCTTTTTGGTTAGAGAGACTGTTTTCATAACTCAACTTTTATGACCTAACAGATCAAAAATATCATTTCAAAAGATGAAAGAAAATTGTTCACTAGTCATCAACCAACATGATATGACACAGTATCATTACTGTGCAATGACTTGGTTATAGACTCACCTAGTTTTCAAAGGATGCAGGCAGAGGTGAAAGATGTTGGTTTGACAAAGACTTACAGAATGTCATTACAATAAACATTAAATAGGAGGATAAGGATACACAACTTGACTCTTCACTCTATTTAACTCTTTTGGAGGTTGGAAAATTGTCATTAATTATCTGCCATTTGTTCATGTAACCGGTGTTGTTGTATTCTCATGAAGCGTCATAATTATTCACACAGAATGCCATAGCCTGTCACAGAGAATTGCATCAAATAATGCCTTCATTTTTACAGAGGGATCAGAGATTATCTGAGGTTATTTCTCAGATATGGATACATTGGTCCACTCTTGAAAAGCTTCATTTAAAACCTGCTTATTCTGCAGCTATTTGATTCTCTCAGCTCAAACAATCAGCAACTTTTTGAAACAGGTATTTTGCATACAATTTACAGATTATAGGGTACAATCTGATTGGAAAATAAGGTTAAGTTGTTCCTGTTAACTTTTTACTAACTGGTATTACTTTACTTTTTGGATCAAGTGGACAAACTGGAAATTTATGTCCAAACCACCTGGAAACCACCAAGTTGCCTAGTCTTACGTTTGATAATCCTCACTGAAAATCAAGAGATATGCTATAGATATAGAAGTAGTTTGAAGAGTACAACTTTTAACCATATTGATCTTGGGATTCTATGCTATAAAAGACATAGACAAAAAGAGAAGGCCAGAGAACACAAGGCCGACCCAGAAAAAGATGGAGAGACATCAAAGATACACAACAATAACATCAAATAACAATGGTTGAGTCCACTAGAACTTTGCATTTCCCTCAGCATCTGAAGCAGTAAAAGAGGAAGTAAAGAAGGAGGAGGAGGAAAGGCTGGATACTTACTGTATTGGCCAAGTGCACGCAAAGCCGTAGAGGAAAGCCAGATAGTCTAGGGGACCACTAGAAATAGAGAAAACACATACTGGTTTACAGAAGTATTGTCACCATAAAGCCATTAGCTGTTGTTTTTTTAAAAAAAATCAAATTAATACTGCTGCCCCTCCAAAATAATTACCACAGCATGATTGTAATTTCAAAAATATCTATATCTAATCTAAATCTTAAATACAATTTAGTTCAGTTAAAAATAATTTGGCAAACTAGACATTACATTTTTTCAGCTCTGTGTATATTTTTAAATAAATCCTTATATATTCATGTTTCTTAAATACATTCCTACCAATTTAACCTGTCTTATATATAAAATAATATATTCCCTCTCTGTAAGATGTAAGATATCTCCATATATCTAAAAAATATGATAATGACAGGATAAGAGGGAGTTAGGAGTGTACAGGGGAATTTGCTGGAAATTCTTTTAGATGAAATAATTATATCTACATGTAGGGGAAAAGTCATTCATTTCTTCAGGGATAAAGAAATCTCCTTTGATGTCTTTTATATAATTTTGTTAACACAAATTGTGGTAATTGTTATTTTTCCAGATTCGGTCTGAAAGCTTATTATTATGAATCTTCTTCCCCTCTGATTTGTTTTTTCTGGAGTCTATGGTAAACTCTTCACATATATTATTACTCCACCACCACCATTTTTTTGGTTAGAGGCCACAATTTCTTTTTACCAAGATCTTTACTTTCCAACAGATTTAGAATGTCATTTTAAGGTGTGTATTTTGAAGACATACATTATGTATTAAATACTAGCTGACAAGTTTGATCTAAGTAGACATTAAGTTAATTTATACAGACTTACTAGCTTTTTAATGCGACAGCACGGGGTAAAGTACCATCAATACGCAGATGATACTCAACTGTATCTTTCTGCCCCGTGCCAGCTCAGTGTAGNAAAAAAATTGCCTCTTCAAAACCTTGGTGTGTCTTATACTGCGAAAAATATTGTAGTTTCTCTGAAAATTAAACTTGTCCTCGGTTGAAATTATTCTGTAGAGTCTTTTTCCTGCACTCACTCATTAAGGTCTGATAAATTGTTTTATTTTTATATTCATCTAATTAAGGCCAGATGTACAAGTAGATTGATGGAAAGGAAAAGCGCTGTATATCCTTTTTCCAGTATAACAGAAATAGATGGATGTGAAAAAATCCAAATATTTAGAAAGGTAGATTGTGAGCTTGTTGAAACCAAATTATAGAATATCTATAGGTTATTAATTTTAGTTTGCTCAACTTAAACCTTTTCTAAAAAATTCTTCAAGAATCTTTCAGTTGGCTATGCTTTAAACTAAACTTTAAAATAACTATCTGGTTTCTAATCTAGCCAGCAGTGGTTTAGATATGCAACCATCCTTTTCTTTAAAACAAACATATAAACTTTCAGTATAAACAAAACTTTTATTTCTCTTGCTTACAGATGTGCCTCAAAGATGCAGCTTTTCTAAAACGGTGAGGACATCGAATACAAATATCATGTTTTCAACACAAAAGCTTTTTGGACCTTGGAGTTGTTTTCGTTTTTAGAATGAAGCCTGTTCTTACAAATGTTGTCTCCTTTTTGTGCTTTTACCTATTTAAATCAGTTAGTGGGCAGAAGGGAAGACAGTGGTAATTATTTGCATTAGTAGGTGCGCATTAATGTAACACCTAAGAAATTTAAAGAGAGATGACCAAGGGGAAAGAAACCGTATACAGTATTTCTCACGGTCTCTAATTCTGAGCTACTGTATAAAAACTTAATATCTTAAACCTTAATAAATCTCAGTTCCTATATGTGAGTAAATTAAGCAAATAATAGATCTGACTGCATCATATTTCTGGTCTTTCTTTATGTTTAGTTTTAACTGGACTTGCCTTGTTGTGGATGAAGCTCAGAGATTGAAGAATCAGGATTCATTACTTCATAAAACACTATCTGAGGTAAAATAATAGTACATTTTCTTTTGTTCAAATGTTAGAGGATGAATATTTCCTAAGTGCCTTCTTAGTCATTTGAGGAGATTTCAGTTTCTTGGTTATCTTTAAGGGTTCAACTAAGTAATATGTTTCTAGTTTGATGTGAGGAGGCATCCAATTTGAGTCTTAAGATAAATTATTGGCACTTTTATTCTTCAATAAGAATAATGTTGCTTCAAAAGAAGCAACATTAATATTAACTTTAAAATACTCAGTTTAACTCTGGAATAAAAACACAATTTTCTCAGAAGACACAAATTTTCCAACTTTACTAAAAAGGGAATGGATCCTAACCTCTAATTCCAAAATAATATTGCAAAGTTCCGAATCATGTCCCCACATCACTTCCCATCACCCTATATCAATTGACTTGCATGTGTGGGTCTAATAGTTATGTATAATGAATCAAATTCTTCCCTTCAGCAGTGTCTAAACTATACACAGAGATAAATTTTATTTTGATCACTAAGCAATAAAGATATATTTGGTAAATACAAAGGAAAATTAACTGTAATGTCAATTGGTGACCATTTGTAGCTAAAGGTTGCACATAATATAATAGAATTTTGCTATTTTTAAATAGATTTATCCCTGATTGTTGAACAAATAATGCAAAAAATAAATGCTAAACTATAGGACATATTTTAGTATTCAACAGATTTCCGTCTCCTGCTGACTGGTACTCCAATTCAGAACAATCTTCAAGAGTTATATTCCATGCTTACTTTTATTGAACCAGTTATATTTCCCAAGGAACTGGTAGATGAATTTGTTTGCCATTACCATGAAATTGAAAAAGACACTGAAAAAGGCAAGTAGAAAGTTGAGATTCATTGCAGAATGTGAACAGTTAGGATTCGGGCTTCTTTTTTGATCATGCTATTGTTATTAAAGGAATGTGTATAGCCTGCTCTTGAACCAAAAACACTCCTATTTTTAATTAAGAATTCAGTCTCTTATGATATCATGGACCTCATCTTTTTGCTGTTTCTTTTTTTCATTAATGTTATAAGAGATGTATATATTCTTAGTGTGTTTTTTCACTTTTTAACTTACGCAGCTATATACAACTGTATACAGTTGCTGCCCTGGGGAAATGCAAAGTCTCGTAGGTAAATTTATTTTTAAATACAGATAATCCTCATTTAATGACAGAAGTTGGCATTGAATACTTTGTTACTAAGCAATATGGTCCTAAAGCAAAAAAAACCAACGTGTAACTATGCTGACTTAACTGCAATTCTGGTTGCAATTATTAAGCAAATTATGCAGAGTCATTAAAGACAATATCATGTGACCACAACTTGTGACTTCCTGCGGACTCCCATATTGACTTTGCTTACTGGAAACCAGCAGTGAAGGTCACAAATGGTAATCACGCAACCATTACACATTGCAAGTGTTGTAATTTCAATCACGATTGTGGGGACATGGTGACCACTGCAATTTTGAGGACTGGCTGTAAGCTTCATTGTTCAGTAGTCATAATTTAGTATGGTCCCAAGAACCACTTATATAATTTTAAGATTTTTCTAAAAGGTACTGAATTTGGTGCATATGTGAGGAAAAGAGTTCAGTCTCCAGTAAGGTTATAGATCATTATTGCATGCATAATTAGTGCCTGGAATTTAAATGACACATTGAATATGTTTTAATATGACACATGTATTGCCGTAGCAACATGCATTGTTCCCCATACAACAGCTTTCCTCAGTCTTATGTCATGCTGCTGAATCATGGAATTCTTAAATTGACAAGTTGAAATTAGGGAGATTTGTACTTGTTAATTTTGGTAACTTTAGCCATATTAATTTTAGTGGGTTTATCCTTAAATGAGACTACTATAGTTTTCAATTGCACCAATTACAGCAACTAGTTATATATTTGCTATATGAAGCTCTTTTTTAAAGTATCAAATTACATAATCTCATTTGTTAAGGTCAGTAACCATTAAATGAATAAACTAAAATCCAAAATAGTCAATTACCTGTAATACTCATGTAATCAAACACAACATTACTCAGGAGATGTAGTCAAACTAGCTAAAACTTGCCTTATACTGGCATTGTATTCTGAAATATGAAATGTAGAAAATATAAAAGATAAATACATAGAACGCATTATTGTAATACTGGTGCCCTGATTTGTTAATTTAATTATGTGTTATGACAGTCTTATATACTGTACATCTCTTTCATTTACTATACATCTCTCTCGCTTGTCTTTTTGAGTCAATTGAATAGACTGATTGTGGGTGATTGATGGCTTATTTGAAATGGTCAGGACTTTCGCCTTCTACTTCAAATTGGGAAATTGTTTCTCGCAATGTTTCTTAAATATCTCTACTAGAATTCATTAAGATATGTCTGTTACATAGATCCATTTTTAGTTAGTTTCTGTTACTTGAAGCTGTAGGAAGATTTACAAGTTCTCCAGTGTGCTGCTTAGAAAATCTAAAGAAATGGGTTAATATCAGTCTGCTTGCCTAGAGATTGAATTGAATAAACGTGACCACGCCTCCCTTTTCACTTGGCTCCTCAGTTTTTTCAATTCAGTCTGCCTGAAGAGACGTAATCACATTTTCTCCTATACCTTGTGAGTCATTCCTTTGGATTTTCCTTGCTAGTAGGTATTGTTATTTCCTTTATTATAGTCAGCATTATGTTATTGTTGTGTAAACTGCTTTCGGCGGAGCACTGGTTTTCCCGCCAGTTGAACTGCTGCCGAGGTTGCCTCATTCCGGGCGAATGTGCGTGCGTCAAGGCTTTTCTGCCCGATTGCTCAGCTAGCCGTAATGGATAGCCGCTTGTATCTGAGGGCCATGAGCTTCGGTGCATTGGCTCGAGACCCTCTTTTTGCACTTGGAGACTTGGTTCGCCATCCTCCCACCGCTGCCTGTTTCTCCGGCTAAAATGCACGGAGCCGCCATTTTGGATGGTGCTTTGAATTTCACGGGCGGCACCAAGGCTGCTGGGATGGAGACTGGATGTCTGGCAATTGGGAGCCGTTAGGCTTGGTGCCAATTGAGATCTGGAACAGCACCGGCCAAATTGAGTGCCCCGAGCCTCATTGCGAGTTGGCTTGTGAGACAAGCAGCAGCGTGATTGCAAGCTGGCTGTATTTCCTCACTGCAAGTGATCCAAATTGAACTGATTCTNGGTAATGGCTAGCCCTGAACTTCCCGTCGTACCTGCCTCTCCCCATAGTGACTGTAATGCTCCAGCCCACCCCCACACCCGTAGACCCCATATCCCCTCCCGCGGCCTCCGCTCCATCCAGCAGGCAATTTATGTCACTCATTCCGGGACGGGAGGTAGGCCTGGGCCCCCCACTTCTACAAAGCACTCAGTGGCGGGGGCACCAGGCTATGCTCTCAGTCCTCTCATACATGCAGAGCCATTCATACATGCATTCCCCACATAAATCAATTTAAAACACAGAAAATACAACAATAATGAAGTTAAAAAGTGGGTACAGACATCAACCAGGCACACCATTCACACCACATTCCTAAAATTTGTGGAGCACTGCGCACGTGTAATTTAAGACAGTCAATGGTGCGGGGAGGAAAGGGAGAGCTGCTCCGTCCCTCTCCCTTCCTCAAAGTCCCAACAAAGGCACCCAAGGCCGGAGGTCCTAAGTTCGTGTATGGGAAACAGGCTGCAGTCGTTGCCGGTATAACAAAGCTTTGTCATGTTCACCGCAGCCATGGTATTTCTTGAAAAGACAAAGTAGGAAAGAACATAGCGAAGGAGAAGTCTAGGGGGCTCCAACAGGGGCTAGGGATGGTAGTCACTGGGAGAGATGTTTAGCCAGTCTCTGAGTGCCCCGCTTATCTGGGATTTGAAGCGCCAGAAATAGGATGGACTAAGTGATGGCGCTGTCTGAGGTGGCAGGCTTGGGACAGCTTCGGGTGGCGATGGGCTGAATAGATGAAAATGAAAATACAGTCCAAAAGCCGTGTTTGAAAAGAGCCAGGTGTCAATTAATGAAAGGCCCCATAGCGGCAGCGGCTGAGTGCGGGAGAAGAGGCCAAGTCGAAGGGAAGAGGGAGGGGGGGGCGTCCAAAAGAGCCGCAATGGCGGCAGATGAAACCAGCCACCCACACTCGTCCAGTATAGTCCCAGCCTGACCACCTTCTCCAGGGGGTGATGGACAGCCCGACACAGGCCCAAAAGCTCCTCATAGTTGGAAAATTTCCATTGAAAATGCCGGAAACGGTGGGAACGCTGAAAACATTGCCCAAAGGCGCCGCCATCAGCGCAACGCTGCCATCGCCGCCACCAGCTGGTACAGGAGCAAACAAGAGCCACAGCAACAGCAACAGCCTTTAGTGGAAGCCAACTGAGAATCTGCATCGAAGGGAGAGGCTGAGCCAAGGGGAAAGGGGGAGGGGGGAATGTCCAGACAAGCCGTAATGGCTGCAGATGAAAGTAATCACCCCCTCTCACCCAGTAAAGTCCCCGACTGATCGCCTTCTCCGTGGGGCGCTGGATAGCCCGAAGCAAATCCCGAGGCTCCTCATGATCGAAAAACTGCTGTTTCAGCTGCCTTTGAAACTGCCCAAGACTTTGGAAACGCTGAAGGCACTGTCCGGAGGCGCCGTCGTCAGCGCTAAGCCACCATCGCCGCCCCGACCGGCACAGAGACAGCCGAGAGCCACACCGCCCAGTGGGAGCCGCCTGAAAGTGGCGACCCCCCCCCCCGGTAACTTGACTCTTCGGGTCCCCTGGAGCTTGCTCTTCAATAAAAACCTCTCCTCGCCCAGTTATTGGGTCTGCATCCATAGGTTTTTCAGGTTCTTTCTGTCTTCTGCAGTCAGAGCAACAGGTTTGGCAGCCATTCTCAGCTTGCACATGCGCAAAAAGGTTCGTCTGGTGCACCAATTGCGGCCCTATTTGGATTGGGAGGCACTTCAAACGGTTACTCACGCCCTTGTCACCTCAAGGCTGGATTATTGCAATGTGCTCTACATGGGGCTACCCTTGAAAAGCGTTCGGAGACTGAAATTAGTCCAGAATGCGGCCGCGCAAGCGATATTGGGTGCACCGAGGTACACCCACATTACACCTGTCCTCCGTGAGCTGCACTGGTTACCAATTGGTCTCTGGACGCAATTCAAGGTGTTGCTTATCACCATAAAAGCCCAAAATGACTTAGGGCCAGAGTCCCTTTGAGACCGCCTACTGCCACATACCTCCCAGTGGTCAGTAAGATCCCACAGATTGG